CATCTCATCATCATAATCAGCATCATCATCATCAAATGCATCATCATCATCAGCTGCATCATCATCATCATCAGCTGAAGCAGTAGCAGCATCTTCACCATCATAATCAGCATCATGATCATCTTCAGATGCATCTTCATTAGCTGCATCATCATCATCAGCTGCATCATCATCAGCTGCAGCAGTAACAGCATCATCAGCTGCAGCAGTAGCAGCATCTTCATCATCATAATCAACATAATCATCATCAGCTGCATCATCATCATCAGCTGCATCGTCATCATCAGCTGCATCATCATCAGCTGCAGCAGTAGCAGCATCTTCATCATCATAATCTGCATCATCATCATCAGCTGCATCATCATCAGCTGCAGCAGTAGCAGCATCTTCATCATCATAATCTGCATCATCATCATCATCATCATCTTCAAATGCATCATCATTACCTGCAGCAGCATCTTCATCATCATTTTCAGCATCATCATCAGCTGCATCATCTTCAGCTGCATCATCATCAGCTGCAGAAGCAGCTGCAGATGCATCATCATATTCAGATGCTAAAGTATCATCAGCATCATCATTATCAGCATCATCATCATCAGCTGCAGCATCATCAGCATTATCACCATTATCAGTATCATCATCATCATCATCTTCAGCAGCAGCATCATCATCATTATCAGCATCATCATCATCAGCTGCATCATCATCCTCAGCTGTATCATCTTCAGCAGCATCATCAGCTGCAGCATCATCATCAGCTGCATCATCATTATCAGCACCATCAGCAGCAGCATCATCAGCATTATCATCATTATCAGTATCGTCATCATCATCAGCTGCATCATCATCAGCATTATCACCATTATCAGTATCATCATCTTCAACAGCAGCATCATCATTATCAGCATCATCATCAGCATTATCACCATTATGAGTATCATCATCATCATCTTCAGCAGCAGCATCATCATTATCAGCATCATAATCAACTGCATGATCATTATCATCATCATCATCGTCAGATGCATCATCATCTGCAGCTGCATAATCATCTGCAGCTGCATCATCATCTGCGTGAGAATGCCTTCATCCAGCAGTGGATAGACGATGACTGCTGGTGATAATGATAATCAAAACAACTACTGCACAATGGGAAACAAACGCAAAGCATATTAATGATGTGAATCGTCAATGTGAGACTGATGGTCACCTGTGCGAGTGTGTGTGGTGTAGTTAGCGCTACGCTGCGCTACGAACCCAGCGACACGAGTTCTACTCCCGCTCACGGCCAACGCCAGTGACGATTCTCTGAACCGATTCTGGGCCTCCCCTTGGTCGACTCAGCCTCAAATGAGTACCTAGTGCGGTGTGTAAACATCGCCGCCGGGGAGACAAAGGCGGTCGGGCGTGGTGTTGGCCACCCACCCCCTCGTGTGCCGTTGCGGCATTCGTATGTGCTCGCTATACGGGAGATATTTGTCTTTGATGCAGACTGCAGCTGTGACCCCAGCTACCACTACCAGGTGAAGGGCAAGAGTGGGCAGATCCTCTACACTGCTTCTGAAGGTGGGAATCCCCAAGGCTTTGATCACTCTATTGGCTCCCAATCCAACCGTGGATCAATTTCAAAAATTCAAACTAACCGCATGCAACACCCTCCACGCACTCTTCCCTCTCATCTCACTCTACTCCCCTCCACGCACTCTCCTACCTCTCCCCTCTCATCTCACTCTACTCCCTTCCACGCACTCTCCCACCTCTCCCCTCTCATCTCACTCAACTCTTTGCGAGTCGGATGCTTTCTTAACGACAAAGCGGCCACGCATTCCGTCCTTTTGAGCTGGTGGTCTGGACAAGGCTGAGAGAGAGAGAGAGTTTTGCCTTTTTCTTCGGCGTATGTGTGTATATGTGCGAGCGTGGTGCTGGCCACCCACCCGCCCACCCCCTCGTGTGCTGTGCCGGTGTTCATAGTACGCTGCTGCTACTCGCTAGCAGCATTTGCCCCAACAGTCTGTTACAGTATCACAATAGGTATAACCCTTTCTGGCCATAATAAAACAGTTGTGTTAAGATGTTCAAACACCAAATTGAATCCTTTTCGCGAGGAATCATGTCTGCCCTGTTAGTATGCATTGTCTTTGCAACTGATTGGTCCACAACCAGAGAGTGCCAGCCCGTTTTTAGAGGCGGTAAATGCAGACACAATTCCTTGGAAAAGATTTAAGTTTTGGTGTTTTAACATCTTTGACACAACTGTTTTATTTGAACATCTTTAAAACACATGTTTTATTGCCAGAAAGGGTAAAACCCAGTGCCGGAATATCCTAGCAGCAAAGTAGCTACAAACGTTACGGGCCCCGCACTTTCAAGGGCCCCGCGCTAAATTATTTCAAGCGATAAATTCCGGTTCAGTGGTTCTGCACTTGCTCTATTACTATAGTACTACACCGCCTTCAACTTTTATGAACTCCCGGGTGTTTAAGGTTAGCGATTTGTCGTATTATATGGCTGTATAGCTAATGAAAAAATACAATTACTTTACTATGCAAGTAAAAAATTGATGTGTTTTAATATTTACGTGTTTTTTTTTATTCATTTAGGGCCCCTTTATAACATAACATGCAACTGGCCCCGCACCTAGCTTCATCCGGCACTGGTAAAACCTATCCTTATATTTTGATACTGGCAAGGGAGGTCTCACGAAGCATGTTACAGGCTACACGGGGGGAGAGGTGGGTGTGTGTGTGGGTGTGTGTGTGGGTGTGTGGGTGTGTGTGCGGCAAAACAACCCCCTACCTCCTCGCGGTGCCGGACGGGCAACTCTGTCGTGGACAGTGCTGTGGGGGGAGATCCAATTTTGATTGGCTCCTCCCACACTGGCATATGTGTCCACCACAGGGGCTAAACAGGGGCTCTGGATGGGTGCGAGGGGCTGGTAACCCCTCCACCTTCAATTAATTACCACGAAACCACGAGTTAAACTGAAATATGTAACAAATAAGCTAGTGCCGGAGGCCCCGGGGGGCCAGGCGTCTATGACGTCTCCTGGCCAAACCCCAATTGGCGGAGCCAGGAGATTGAATACCTACCCTCGGGGCTACTCGAGAAACAACGAAAAGCCACTACGGGTGGCCACGTGGAATGTTCGAACGCTCACTGCAGAGGAGAGGCTGCCACTCCTCTGTCGGGAGCTGGACCGGTACCGCCTGGATCTATGCGGCATTCAGGAGGTCCGGTGGACCGGGTCTGGCTACTGCCACCATGAGGGGTGGACAGTACTCTACTCGGGGCAGCAGACTGCCAAACACCAGGGTGTGGGTCTTCTTTTGAACAAAAGAATGAAGGGGGCGTGGGAGCGTGGCGGTGAGGTGTGGGAAGCTGTAAGCCCCAGGCTACTTTGGGCTCGCCTTCCCATCAACCGGAGGCGAGGAATGGTGGTCGTGGTTACTTATGCCCCCACCGAAGATGAACATCCGTGGAGGGATGCAGGCAAAGCCGATGAGTCAGATGCCTTCTATGACCTCCTGTCACAGGTGCTGGCTAAAGTGGCCCCTCGGGATAGAGTCATCATGTTGGGTGACTTCAATGCCCGAGTTGGTCATGATACTGGCACCTGGTCTGGAGTGATTGGAGGGCACGGGCCAGATCAGCTCAATAACAACGGTAGGAGGCTGCTAGATTTTTGTGCAGCCCATGGGCTTGTAATTACCAACACGCTGTTTCGGCATCGGCGCATCCACACAACATCATGGATGCATGCCGGGTCCAAGCAAGAACATCTGATGGACTACATAGTGACGGACCAGCGAATGCGAGCCCATGTCCTTGACACCAGGACCTACCGTGGAGCTGATCTGCCCTCTGACCATCGACTAGTCATCTGTAAGATGCGCCTGCCATTCTTCCACTCCGGTGGTGGGTGTACACCCAGGACCCCATTCCAACATAAAGTGGCCTGGTCTCAGTTATCTGTTGAAAGTTGCAAGCGAGAATTTCATCATCGCTTGCGGCTGGGATTGGCATCGTCCCCGACTCCTCCTGATGTCGAGGGTAAATGGGCGAGGTTTAGGACTGTGACTCATGCAGCTGCAATGGCTGCTTTGGGTACGCGGTCCAGACCTCCCCAGAGACCCTGGCTGACAGAGGAGGTGTTCAGGATGGTTGAGAAAAAGCGACAGGCCCACTGTCATCGGCTACAGAATCCCACGTCAGAGAATGAGGAGGCTTACCGCAGCCTTCGCTCGGAGGTTCGGAGAGCCGTGAGGCGCTGCAAGGATGGGTGGTGGTCGCGGGTTGCTGAAGAAATGGAGTCTGCCTCAGTGGCCCGTGATCACAAATCTCTATTTAACTCCATCAAAAAAGTAACCTGCAGCGCCACACCTATTACCATCATTAGGGGAAAAAACGGTGATCCAATCTCCGACCCCCAGGAACAGGTTCGCAGATTTGCTGAGCATTTCTGTGAGGTCCTGGGGGAGGGAAAATCCCACAGGCAGGAAAACTTCGTGGCACAAAGTGAGGATGACCCTGCTGAGGCTGCGGTGCCTCAAATATTGGAAGAAGTCACCCCCTGTGAGTGGCTGGCTGAGGTGCCATCTGCTGACGAAGTATTGAAGGCGATCCGGAGTCTGAGACCAGGAAAGGCAGCGGGCAGAGATGATCTCCCAAGCGAAATGCTGAGGGAGGGTTGCGTTTGTGCACAGACTGCCCTATATGACATCATAACAACAGTCTGGACCACTGGACGGGTTCTGCAGGATTGGAAGGATGCCCTGGTGGTCCCCCTTTTTAAGAAGGGGGACCGCACAGACTGTAACAACTACAGGGGCATCTCACTCCTCAGTGTGCCGGGACTGGTCCTGGCAAGGATTATTCAGCATCGCCTTGCCAGGCACGCTGAGGAGAGGCTTGCGGAGCCCCAATGCGGTTTCAGGAAAGGGCTGTCCTGCACAGATGCCATATTTTCTGTCCGTCTGCTACAGCAGAGGTGTAGAAAATTCCAGCAAGACCTACATCTCTGCTTTATTGACCTGGTCAAGGCCTATGATACCATCAGTAGGCCTGGGCTCTGGGTCGTTCTTCGTGCTTTTAGAGTACCTGACCCTCTGCTCACGATCATTAAGGACCTTCATGATGGTGAGCGGGCCCGGGTAAAACTACGTGGCCGGGAGTCAGAGCCATTCCCTGTACACCGTGGGGTGCGACAGGGATGTCCTCTGGCTCCCACATTATTTAACATCTATTTTGACCACGTAGTTCGTGAAGCCTTCAATAGCTGTACCGGGGGAATCTCCATATGGTACAGATATAATGGGAGGCTGATCGATGCCCGGGTGCGGTCAAGGGATGGCTCCCTATTGCACAACCACGTTATGTATGCTGATGATTTGGTAATAGCTGCTCAGTCAGAGGAGGAGTTGGAGACGCTGCTGCTGAGACTGGAGCGTGCCACTAAGAGGTGGGCCCTTACCATCAGCCCCACCAAAACTAAGCACCTGCCTGGGTATTTTGTACCATCGGACACTCCACCCCCACAACTCCCAATTGGTGATGGGGCAGTTGTGGAGAGAGTGGAGAGTTTCCCATACCTGGGCAGTGTGCTTATGACTGGCTCCAGTTTAACAGCAGAGGTCTCACTCCGAATCAGTCGAGCGGCAATATCTTTTCATCGGTTGCGCAACGCTGTGTGGAAGCTACCTGGTCTGTCGCTCCGCACTAAGCTTCAGGTCTTCTCGGCCACGGTCATTCCCTCCCTTCTCTACGCTTGCGAAACGTGGACCCCCCTAATGGAACATCTTCGTCGGTTAGAAACATTTAGGCTGGCCTGCCTACGATCCATCCTGGGTTTAACCAGACTGGATTGTGTGAGGAGCTCACAAATCCTTGAAAGATCTGGGCAGGGTCCCATCGGTGAGCTCCTCCGGTAGGCAAGGCTGCGATGGCTGGGTCATGTAGCCCGCATGCCCAGCCACCGCATGCCGAAACAGCTTTTGTTTGGCCGGATCGAGGGGGCTAAGCGGGCGCGGCACGGGCTAGAGAAGAGATGGAGTGATGTGGTACAGGAGGACGTGGAGCTGAGTGGACTTACCGATGACTGGTACCAGCGGTGTCAAGATCGGCCTCTGTGGAGGAGGCTCGTGAAGGACGCTACTGGGCAGTTGGAGGCAGTCGCCCTCCAACAACAACGGAGGGCGGAGGAGCGACGCTCAGAACAACGAGCGGAGCGCCGGGTGGCTAAAGCACAGCAGGTTGGCACAGTAGGGGGCACAGATGGTGCATCAGCCAGTCATCTAAGTCAGTCGACCCGTGGCACCTGGGTCTGCCCCGTGACCTCCTGCCAGCGGGTGTTCGACACTTCACGTGGCCTCAGGGTGCACATAGCCTGGCACAAGCGTCGTGGTGACGTCACCGCCACTTAGTGGCGAATGGCGGTTGTTGTTGTTGTTGTGTGTGTGGGGGTGTGTGTGGGGGTGTGTGTGTGGGTGTGTATGTGGGTGGGTGGGGAGCGATAGTGTAGCGGTTAGCGCGCTGCGCTATGAACCTGGCGATTCGGGTTCGATTCCCGCTCACGGCCAACACCAGTGACGATTATCTGATCCGGCCCCGGGCCTCCCCTAGGTCGACTCATTGCCACTAGGGAGACAAAGGCGGTCGGGCGTGGTGCTGGCCACCCACCCCCTCGTGTACCGTTACGGCCTTCATAGGTGCTCGCTAACAGCACTTGCCCCTACAGTCTGTTAAGGCTATACGGGGGATCTTTGTCTTTGTGTGTGTGGGTGGGTGGGGCACCTCTTGCCCGTGTCGTCCCGCCACAGAATTCTCGTGGTGCTGCTTCCACGTCTGTGGGCCGCTGCGCTCCTCGCTCCTCCGCGTCTCGGAGCCCGGCGGGCGCGAGGTGCTGAGGCTGGAGCGACCCTTCAGGCCCGAGCCGTGCCCCTGCTGCCCCTGCTGGCCCTGCCCCTCCGCGCTCAGGCCCGTCATGAGGGTCTGCTCACCCGAGGGGCAGCTGCTGGGAACGGCGACGCAGAGGTGCGTGCGTGCGGGCGCGCGCGCGTGTGTGTCACTAGGGAGACAAAGGCGGCCGGGCGTGGTGGTGGTTACCCACTCCGGCCTACCACACACCTCGTGTGCCGTTTCGGCCTTGATAGGTGCTCGCTGACAGCACTGGCCCCAACAGTCTGTTGAGGCTATACAGGGGATTTATGTATATTTGTGTCACTAGGAAGACAAAGGCGGCCGGGCGTGGTGATAGCCACCCACCACCCGCGTGTGCCGATCCGGCCTCCATAGGTGCTGCTCGCTATCAGCAACAGTCTGTTCAAGGCTACGCGGGAGATCTTTGTTTTGTGAGAGTGAGAAAGTAGTCTGTGGAGTCTGCGTGTTCTCTCCCACTGTGCCGCACTGGGGTCCCTCTGGGTCCTGTGGGTCTCCTCCCACGCTGTGGGTTTTGTACAACCATTGGTGAGCCAGGCCGCTCACCCGTGCAAGTGAGACCCTCTCCTGCGTCTCATCACTTCTCACCTGGTCAAACAAAACTCTCTTGGCACTCAATCAACTTAGAAACTACCTCCCACCCCGTGCTCCTGTGTGACCCTCCTCTGTGACCCCTCCCTCCCTGTGTGACCCTCCTCTGTGACCCCTCCATGTGACCCCCCTGTGTGACCCCTCCCATGTGACCCCCCCCCTGCGTGAGCCCCCTGCGTGATCCCTCCCATGTGTGACCGCCCTGCGTGACCCCCTTATTGTCCCCCGTGACCTCCCTCCCGTGTAACCCCCCCCGTGTGACCTCTCCTGCTTGACCCCCCGTGTGACCTCTCCTGCGTGACCCCTCCCATGTGTGACATCCCCACCTGTGTGACCCCCCCGTGTGACCTCTCCTGCGTGACCCCTCCCATGTGTGACCCCCCCATCTGTGTGACCCCCCCGTGTGACCTCCTGCGTGACCCCCCAACCCCGTGTGACCCCCTGCGTCAGGAGGAGCATGTGTGCGCCTCTGCTGGACGTGGTGGACTCGGAGGGGCGTCTCGTGCTGAGCGCGCGCGGGCCTTGCTGCCCGTGCCGTTGGGTGGACGAGCAGAGCTTCACGGTGGGAGAGAGAGAGAGAGACAGACGATGGGGGATTTTTTTTAGGCTCAGTCGACCTAGAGGGAGACCAGCGCCAGTGTACCGTAGCAAGAATTTAGCAGTTCGCTGTGGGTGAGTAACTAAGCAGTCAAATCCATCTCAATTTCATTGGTTGACTGTCAGGAATGAATTAAATAATGTATCGGATCGCGCATGCAGACGTCAAATGTTTGAGATTCTTGCCAATTTCAACCTCCGAGAGGACGTCCACGGACGGAGGAGATGGAGCGAGTAGAGCATCAGCAGCAGCAGCAGCGGCAGCTGGGTGGATCGTGGCATCGCACGGTCGCAAAAGGTAGCGACGGTCCGGGGAGGCCTTCATACAGCAGTAGACAGAGCACGGCTGATGTTGATGATGAGGATAATGAGAACCCTGGGATGATGACGGGCGAGATGCTGCTGATGAGACCGGTGACGGTCGAGCGAGCTGCTGATGAGCAAGCCGCCAGGACGAGCGAGCTGCTGATGAGCAAGCTGTCTGGGCGAGCGAACTGCTGATGAGCCAGCCACCTGGGCGAGCGAGCTGCTGATGAGCAAGCCGCCAGGGCGAGCGAGCTGCTGATGAGCAAGCCGCCAGGGCGAGCGAGCTGCTGATGAGCAAGCCGCCAGGGCGAGCGAGCTGCTGATGAGCAAGCTGTCTGGGCGAGCGAGCTGCTGATGAGCCAGCAACCAGGACGAGCGAGCTGCTGATGAGCGAGCTGCTGATGAGCGAGCTGCTGATGAGCAAGCCGCCAGGGCGAGCGAGCTGCTGATGAGCAAGCTGTCTGGGCGAGCGAGCTGCTGATGAGCGAGCCGCCAGGCCGAGCGAGCTGCTGATGAGCGAGCTGCTGATGAGCAAGCTGCCGGGCGTGTGCCGTTCTCAAGCAGGTGACGGCGGGAGCGCGCCGCGACGCGGGGCTCATCTGGAAGCGCTGGAGCAGAGCGGAGGGTCAGTGGAGCGGGCAGCGCGACACCTTTGGGGTCGTCTGTGAGTCCGCGGGTTCCACGCGTGCCAGGACACAGCAGCTGCCCACCGCACCACCACCACCACCATCACCACCACCACCACCTATCGTGTTGATGTTGTATTGTTTGTTTGTTGTTAACGTTCTGACCCCCCCCCCCCCGTGCCCCCAAATGGACTGCTCCGAGCCACGGTGACAGAGAGTTCGATCCCAGGTTATTTGTTGACGTCTGTCGCTTAACGTGGCACTTTTCAGGAACGCATCTACCGCTACTGCTACTACCGCGTTAAACGAGAACTGACTGCGCTGCAAATTAACTTGTTTCAATTGCCCCTACTTCGCACTCCCGGCGTTTTTGTGTTGTACCGTTTGTTGATGTAGCTTGCTGACCCACATCTGTGGGGGGGGAAATAGCTTCATAGCTCATCCTATTCCTCCTGCTCCGATGCAAATAAATATTCCAACTCTAATTCTGACCTTATCCGGCCACCCGCGCCTACTCGCTTTCGCCAGACCCAAGGGTCGAACGCTTTTCTTTCAATCGAATAATGTTCGTCTTTGTTCCTCGTGGCGAGGAGATTGCTATCTGCCTCGCCAGCTATGCAGGAGGCCCGTGGGTTCGATTCCGGACACTGGCGATACCTGCTGCTGTCGTTGTTGTACATTTGGAGTCCACGTGTTCTCTCCATCTCTCTCTCCCCGTGGTGGTCGAGTGGATCGTTGTCCGGGCAGAACTCGGGTTCCCCCTTCCCACCACCACCACCACCCTCCTCCACATTTAGAAACAACACTCGCACTCAGTGTGTGTGGCTGGCCACGAGAAACTCCCACGTGTGATGTCCATGATTATATCAGCCACTGCGATGCTGAGCTATCGTCATCGCGTATGGGCGGCCAGGTCGCCTCTGAACAAGAGCTGATTGCTCGGTGGAATGTACCTTGGTGATATTGAAGTCAAGTTTCTGTTGCTGTATGGAAGCTATGAAATGTACGCGTATCCAATTTCTGGAAGGTTCCGTTTGGGCGGCGTTTGTGGACCCCTGTGGTCCACCCACATCAGAGCCGTCCCGAGGGGTAGTACGGGGAATCGGGGCGGCTGCCGCGGGCCCTGCGCTTGGGGGTGGGGGCCGCACTTTGACTACACGTTGTCAGATGTGATACTCCCGGTTTAGTTTGAAGGCTTTGGTGGCTTTGGTGGCTCCCACACGGTGGGTGAATTGCCCCGGGGCTCGCACTCCCCCCTCCCCCACCACCCCCATGGACGGCGCCACAAAGGTCAATAAACACCCCCGATTAGCACGGTTGGCTACGTACGGTGCGAAAGAAGTTAAACGTACTCACACACACATCAACAAAGTGAACTAAATGCTTTCTCTTCCTCCTCGTGCCCCCCGGCAGTCGATGCGGGGCTGGACGTGAAGTCGAAAGCCCTCCTGTTAGGAGCCAGCTTCCTCGTGGTGAGTACTCACTACCTGAACTCAATATCTGTACTCTGACTACTCTGTAGATGTACTCTGAGTACTCTTCGTCTTTCATACTCTGAGTACTGAGTGTACTCTGAGTACTGAGTACTCTCAGTGCTCTGAGTACTCACAATACTGAGCGATGATAGCCCAGAGAACTCAGCACCTGAACTCTGAGAACTCTGCAGCTGTACTCTGAGTACTTAGAGTACTCCTACCCTGAGTACTTAAAGTGCCTGTATTCTGAGTACTCTGTCGCTGTACTCTGAGTACTTAGAGTACTCCTACCCTGAATACTTAGAGTGCCTGTACTCTGAGTGCTCTGTCGCTGTACTCTGAGTACTTAGAGTACTCCTACCCTGAGTACTTAGAGTGCCTGTACTCTGAGTACTGCGTCGCTGTACTCTGCTGCCGCTCTGCCCCACGTGCGCAGCCGTGTGGCGTCAATGCGCTGCTGAATGAGGGCCTCTTCAATGTAATCTGTCCCAGCTGACTCTCATGTCAGGCAGTAGAGCACAGCACGTGTTCTTGTTTCACATTCATTCAAGTTGCCCATGCGCTGTGCCCATTCAGACTGCTACGGCGGTCGCCAACATTTCCACTGTAGTTCAAAACCGGGGTCTGTAATTTCTCGGTCGACACGAGGTCTGTCATCGCAAACTACCGTGGTAACAAGTTCAGACACGCCAGATCTCGCTCACGAAAAAATCGAATTCCGAGCCACCAAGCGAACACAGATGCCGGTTCTCGGACTTGTCCCGGTGAAACCCAGACTGGTGGCAACCCGGTGGTGATGTTGATGACGATCACGGGCACACGCGGGGCAGGATCGTTAGCGGACAGCAGCACGTGACCGGGTAATTGAATCGACTGTGCCTCTGTGGTTTCTTCCCTTCTCGCGTACAGAATCACCTCTACTTCGAGATGAGTTGAGGATGCTGAGCCAGAAGTCTATGGGGGGTGCGGGGCGCGGGGCGGTCTTCTCCATTCGCCGTACTCGAGGAACGGGCTCCGTCTGGCTCCAAAGCCACCGCACAACGTCCCGGATTGGCCCGAAACAGTCGCACGTTGGTTTACGGAAAGTCTGTCCCGGGTGTGTGTGTGTGTTGCGTGTGTGTCCCCCTGTCCCCTCCCCCACCCCACCCCCCTGCCCCCCACACCCCACACAACATCGGCTCAAGCAGTCACTAATTGTCACGCGTTTGTTTCGCGTGACGAACCTCGCTGGCTGTGTCGCGTGTGCGGAGGGTTACACGACACATTTACGCGATTCTAACCCCAAAAAAAAACCTTTCCCGTGATTAACATTGGTCGCGAAAGGCGCCGCGTGTCACGATTGCTACTCGACTGATACCATTGCCGCATTCGTAACTTGGCGTTGCGTAGCGTTACGGATTGTCATGGTCGTCGTAGTTGTTGTTAAGTACCAATGGAGTTTGAACTCAGACTCGCTCCCGTGTGCGAGCACCCCAGACGCCCTCCCTCCCTCCCCGAGGGGCTTAACTGCTCCCTCTCTCCACATTCTCCAGAATGTCGCTAGGACCAGCAGTGGTGGAGGCGGCGGGGGGGAGGAGTCCTACTACGGCTCCAGGAGCCGTACGCGAGTGGCTCTGGTCAGTGACTGGCACTGCTGCTTCGTCTCGTATATCACCACGTGACATTGCCGGCTCTTGATATATTGAGTTGTTTTTTGTGTGTGTGTGTGTACATATATATACACACCGAATTTCTAAACTCAAAGCCTCTCCCGTCGTTATTTCGCTTTCCGAATTCATGCGCTCGGCCGACTGACCGGCTCGCAGTACGGATAATTCGGCGTAAGACACTACCACTAGATGGCAAAGTACCCCAATCCATAGTAATAATAGTATTAACCCTATGTTATTGTATTCCTTTATCAGTGCTATAATCCTAAGGTGAGTACCGTTTCATGAAGTCGATAAATCGTGGTTAGGTGGATGTCACGGTAGAGTGACAGTCGCTCACCCATCGGGACTCTTCCGGTTGTGATTCAGGAGGGTAATGGACAGGGTGGCCCGGATGTATTGTGACCCCCCATTTCATTCTCTAAAACTTAACATTTTTTACGTTATGTTTTTTTTTATGAATATACAAATTAATATGTTAAGGAATATATAATTGAATATGCATGCATATGCAAATGATAAAACACTGGTTGGGTCAATTAATTGGGGGTCACGTGAATTCTGAACCAACACGCTGTACATGTCACTCCACTGCTGGATGATGGCCTTCCACAGGCTCGTGTGGTGCCCTGAAGGTTATTTTACCATACTTCCCCACGTTGGTGAAGTGGGCGTGAAAGCGTAGACATTGCAGCAGAGTGCAGTACAACAACGTGTGTGTGTTTTTCTTTCTGCTACTGGTCCTCTGCTGAAAATGTGGATATGTGTAATGTCGGCTTGTAAATAATAAACTTCACGTTCCATCACTCGTCACTCGGACTCTTCGTCTCGCTGAGTGATCGACACAGCACCTGCAATTAAGCGCGGGTTAGCTACGTACGGTGCGACAGACGTTCAGCATGCAGTACGCGCGGCCATGGAAGTCCAGAAAATTACAAAGATCAACGGTAGAAATGGACTGGAGATTAAAAAAATACGTAATATATGTCTAACATCTTCTTCTTTCGTATGGCATGCGAGCAACCGTTTGCATAGATGATGTCATAGTTGAATACTAAGATCCTTCAGCCAATCCAAGGCGGCAGTAGATGCTGAACGAATTGCATAGATGATGTCATAGTTGAATGTTAAGGCTCTTCAACCAATCCAAGGCGGCAGTAGATACTGAACGAATTTCATAGATGATGTCATAAATGTAGAGGGAAAACCCGGAGTAGCCGGTTGAAAAATCCACGCGGCCACAGAGGGAGAGAGACACGCAAAGTAAAAATATTGTATCCAGCAGCAGGCGTCAGGGTCGGGATCGAACCCACGACCTCCTGTATACCAGGCGAGGTAGTTAACATCTCCCAGCCACCGTGATGATGATGAGAGAGAAAGAGACACACACACACACTCCAAATATACAGCAGCAGGCGTCAGGGTCGGGATCGAACCCATGACCTCCTGTATACCAGGCGAGGTAGTTAACATCTCCTAGCCACCGTGATGATGATGATGATGAGAGCGAAACACGCAAACTCCAAATATACAGCAGCAGGCGTCAGGGTCGGGATCGAACCCACGACCTCCTGTATACAAGGCGAGGTAGTTAACATCTCCTAGCCACTGTGATGATGATGAGGTATAAAGGAACGCCATTCAGAAAAAGTTGATGAACGGAGAAACGGAACGGAAGGTAAATGTTAACTTTGTTTTTCTTCCACGGCCTTATCCTTTGGAATGTTCCACAACGTCTTGATGTCAACGTCTTGATATCAACGTATTGATGTCAACGCCTTGATGTCAACGTCTTGATGTCAACGGTGAACGTTCCCCACACTCACTGGTGGTTCACGTCAGTCTCTCTGCTTCATGGCACGAGTTATTGTTGACACCAGTCAACGAGGGCATCGTTTCCGATACGCAGTTGATATCGGTAAAATGTGTCGCTTTTCTACGTGCTGAATCGGGGATCTCTGTACAGGTTGCTTAAAACAAATGTTAACACTTATATGGAACTATCGTTTTTTCATGGGAAAACGAACTGATAATACACTGTAACATGATAATAAATATTCTTAGTTTTTTCGGTAAAGTCACGTTGAAGAGAAACAACAAAATAACAAAATATATATAAAACAATAAAAAATTCTCACGACGTTTCGACCATAACTCAAACGGTTTGAGTTATGGTCGAAACGTCGTGAGAATTTTTTATTGTTTTATATATATTTTGTTATTTTGTTGTTTCTCTTCAACGTGACTTTACCGAAAAAACTAAGAATATGAATTACTGCAGTCACGAAAGCTTTAAATCAAAATGATAATAAATGTTTGTTAATAGCTTCAAAAAGTCAAAGAGTCTCCACTTGATCGCCATCATTGTCATCACATGCCCTGGAATCTTCTTCAGGCGGCACATTTCCAGCCACCGCATGCCCAAGCAGCTTCTGTTTGGCCGCATAGAGGGGGGTATACGGGCACGACATTGGCTGGAGAAGAGATGGAGTGATGTGGTACATGAAAAAGTTGGAGCTAAGTGGACTTGCCGATGACTGATACCAGCGGTGTCAAGATCGGCCTCCGTGGAGGAGGCTCGTGAAGGACGCTGCTGCTACAGGGCAGTTGGAGGCAGTCGCCCTCCAACAACAACGAAGGGCAGAGGAGCGACGCTCACAACAACGAGCAGAGCGCCGGGCGGCTAAATACAGCAGGTTGGCATAGTGGGGGGGGGGTACAGCTGGTGTGCATCTACCGGTTATCTCAGTCAGCCAGCCCATGGCACCTGCAGGGTCTGTCACGAGACCTCCTCCTGTCAGCAGCGGGCCTTCGACACTTCACGTGGCAGCCTCAAAGTGCACCTGGCCTGGCACAGGCGCCGTCACTTAGTTGCGAATGGCGTGGGTATTGGTATTGTGACAATAATTACATTTTATATAGTAGCGTCATTCTTGCAATTGCATCCCACAACGCTGCACATCAATTATCCAGTCCCGTACAAAAAATACAAAAAAACTCCACAACTTAACAAAACAAATGAATAGATAAATAACAAACAAACAAAAACGCACGTAATAAAAAAAAATCGCGGAGAAAATAAATTAAAATCAATAAATCCGTTCCATCTCCATACCGAGCGCGTAAACACGGAACCCTGCGTCTCGTCATCTGCTACGCTCGCTACCCGCAGCTGACTTCGCCTGGCCCGTCACGACATCTCAGCCACTGCGGGCGACACGGGGGGGGTGGTGGTGGTGGATGAATGCGGCTCAGGCGGGCGACGACAGCCCCGGGTGGCAAAATACCACCGCGAATGTTTCACAGCGACTCCACGGAAACGTTTTGTTCGGTCTCCGCCGGCTGACAATGATCTTCCTCCCACCTCGTCTCTCACACCCACCCCCACCAACCTCCTCCTGCTGAGTGCTCTGACTGCTCAATTCCTCCTCGGTGGAGCGTGGAGGAGTCACGCGGACTACAAAAGTCGCCGCAGTGGCCCGCGGGGTGTCGCTGCCTCCCAACAATAGCCCCTTCAATCGCGTTAGGGCGCCGTCACTTTTGCCTTTTTAATTTCCGGCAAATGTCTCTGGTCGGCTTGTCAGTGCCTGTGTGGGTGGTGTAGCGGTTTGGGGCGCTGCGCTACTAACCCGGCGACCCGGGTTCGATTCCCGCTCACGGCCAACACCGGTGACGATTATCTTAACCTCAAAGGCGATCGGGCGTGGGGCTGGCCACCCACCCCCCTCGTGCGCCATGCCGGCCTTCATAGGTGCCCGATAAACAGCACTTGCCCCAAAAGTATGTTAAGGTTACACGGGGGATCTTTGTCTTTGTGAATAAGTGATAAGTGACCTGCAATGTGAGTCCTGAAACGGGGACGTGTTTAACAATAATTCGGCGCGTGCAGCGTGGAACGCGATCATGGGTTGACAGCTATGGACTTTACACATAAAACAAAACTCTCAACCCGTTAGTCAATAATAAAAAAGAGAATTGTTTACACGTATAGTGAAAGCCGAGAAGCGATTATACACTCGCGTGGAAACCCTGCAATGTAACTTGTAGGCACGCGTAGATCTATACTCCCATATTGCTGGATGGGGGCTTTGTGGAGGTTAAATGGCCATACTTCACCAGGCTGGTCTGAGTTGGTGTTAACAACGAAACGGGTGACACCCGTAACTTCTCCGCTAGGTGGCGATATCATCACGCGTGGCGCCTCTAAAATTGTTGAAGGCAACTGCAACGTCCATACCTGTCAACCCCTGATCAGTGACTACCTTATTACAGACAAATTCAGAGCTTATTGGTCACCCCGTGCCCCTTATAAATCTCCTACAAAGTCGCATCACAAACATTTTTTGCCCGTTTTGAAACGGCTGTACGGATGTGAAAACTCAATACGAGTAAACCGTATGGGTTGACAGCTATGGACTTTACACATAAAACAAAACTCTCAACCCGTTAGTTAATCATAAAAAAGAGAATTGTGTACACGTGTAGTGAAAGCCGAGAAGCGATTATACACTCGCCTCGTGAATTAAAATAGCCCGCTCGATTCTCATTGGCGAGGAGCACATATAGGGCGCACGCACACAACCACCCACACCCACCCACACCCACCCACACACCCATCCACCCACACACCCACACACACCTACCCACACCCATCCACCCACACACCCACACACACCCACCCACACACCCACACACCCATCCACACACACAACCACACCCACCCACACGCCCAGCCACCCACACACCCATCCACCCACCCACACACCCATCCACACACAACCACACCCATCCACCCACACACCCACCCAACCACCCACACACCCATCCACCCACACACCCACACACCCACACACCCACACCCATCCATTCATACACCCACACACCCATCCAGACACCCACACACCCAGCCACCCATACACTCATCCATCCACACACCCACACACCCACCTACACACACTTCCACCCACATCACCACACCCACACTCACCCACACACCCATCCACACCCATCCACCCACACACCCACGCACACAACCACCACCATCCACCAACACCCATCCACTCTCCCCCGACACACACCCACCCACACACCCACCCACACACCCACACACACACCCACACCCCCACCCATCTACTCCCCCACCCACCCATCCACCCGCACACCGACCCAACCACCCAATTTGGGCTCATTTTAACGGTGACGCCAGCAATTTTTTTTACGTTTCCCCACCCCCCACGTCCAACTGTGAGCGAAGCAGACGGCCCGTGGTGACATCTGCACGGTTAAACACAAACGCAGACGCAGCAGTAATAACCGGGGCGGCCTGCGGGCGAATCGAACCGCGAAAACCGCTCCGCAACGACAAGCGGCTAACGCGCTGCCGCTGGGTCACCGGCTGGGTCACCGTCTGGGTCACAGGCTGGGTCACCGCCTGGGTCACCGGCTGGGTCACCGGATGAGTCACCGCCAAAGTAGCCGGAGGCCCACGCGAGGCCACGGGCTGCGGTGCGGTGACGAATCCGTGTTTGCCGGAGTCACTTACTGGGCAATTACGCAAACCACTGAACCGCAACGGAAGCCAGGCACCGCTCCCAGGACCCATTCCCCCAAGGCGCCCCATTCATTCATTCGCCGGCTCGCTCGCTCGCTCATTCACTCTCTCGCTCACTCGCTCGCGTAAAATGGAAAAAAAAACTTCGCTGCTCACTGGGAATCAAATGGACGTCTGAGCCTGCGATCGCGTTCCCGGAGACGTCGTTTTGTTGTTGTTGTTCAAATCCACCGCTGGATGAAGGGCTCCCGCACGGCCGTGTGTTATTGGTTTGTCGGGGGCGTGTGAGCACGCTCCGGCTTGCTGGGACCGGTTTGGTTCAGATGTCAGTCGCCACCGCTGCACCCAGCCCTGACCGTGAATCAAACTCAGGTGGCAGGGCTGGTAGCGCAGTGATGCGAACTCGTGACCTTTCCCAGTGCGAGCGGTTCGCTCCACCGCTGGGGAGAAACCTTGGTCCCGGGGCTAAGGGTGTCCGTTGAATGAGGCGAAACGCAAAAACAAGACGCGAATGAAAATAGACATCCCATTAAAAGTGCCTTTTTTATTTATGACGGATGGATGCAGGAGTGGGTTCGGGTGAGTTGAGGGGAGGGAGAGAGTGAGCCTGTGGGGTGAGGGGGTTTAACACAGCCAAGACACATTCCGTGGACTTCGGGAGTTGATAAAATATTTTAATCGGCATTAACAAAAAATAAAACATCAAAGTTGCCCCCCCCCCCCCAAACGACCGCGCGTCCCCTCTGTGAGAGGGCTTCTGTCGACGTCGCCGCTGCTGCTGCGGCCGCGGAGAGAGAAGAGGAGGAGGATGGAGGATTTCGAGGCGGGACGGTCATGCTCGTGAACTCGTGGGCATCTGCGAAGAAGAGCTTCACAGCTCCTCGGATCGCTCCAGTACAAATACGGATTCTGATTCTGACATGCCGCTGGGATTGCTTCGCTCGGCGTTGCGTTCCGCATTCAAATCGTCGGTGGAGGGGGTGGGGGTGTCGTTGGGGGCGGGGGGAGGAGAAGAAGGAGGAGAAGGAGGGGTAAATAGAAGAGCTGGGCCCGCGTCGTCTTGAGCCTCGCTGGCGGGCCACGGGCAGGCCGAGGGCCGGCCGAGCGAGAAGCGAGAGAGGAGCGGTGGCCGTGAATTCCGATGAGGCTTGCGGCGGCACAGCGTTGCGATCATCGCGATAATCGCGATGATCGCTCCGTCGGCCGTTCCTCTTCGTTACCGTATTCTCCGCATTATAAGAGACAACCGCCAAGCAACTCCACGCCCTGTCTATGGAAGTGACACGTGGGAGTCTTTCAGGGTCGGGGCAGCACATCCAGGAGCGCCACATGGATGCGCCTTATAATTAATTCGGTAGGTGGGTGGGTGGGTCAGTGTGTATGTCAGTGCGTGTCATTGTGTATGTGGGGAGCGGTAGTGTAGCGGTTAGCGCGCTGCTCCACGAACCCGGCCACCCGAGTTCGATTCCTGCTCACGGTAACCAACACCGGTGACGATTATCTGAAGCTTGTCCTGGGCCTCCACTAGGTCAACTCAGCCTCAAATGATTATCTGTAGCAGTGTGTAAATATCGCCACTCGGGAGACAAAGGCGGCCGGGCGTGGTGCTGGCCTCCCACCCTCTCGTGTGACAGCCTGCCTTCATAGGTGCGTGCTAACAGCACTTGCTCCGACAGTCTGTTGAGGCTACACGGATGATCTTTGCCATTGTGTATTCTAATGTATGTGATATTTGTAATGTGGTACAGAAGGATGTGGAGCTCAGCGGACTTGCCGAGGAGCGACGCTCACAACAACGAGCGGAACCCCGGGCGGCTAAAACGCAGCAAGTTGGCACAATAAGAGGGGCACAGGTGGTGCATCTGCCAGACATCTCAGTCAGCCAACCCCATGGCGCATGGGTGACCTCCTGCCCGTGACGGCCTCGGAAAAAGGTGCACCTACCCTGGCACGATCGCCGTGTGGTGGCGTCACCGTCACTCGGTGGGCGAACGACAACTTTTTTTGACATCCTACTTTCCAGAGCATCTTATAATCCGGAGAACACGGCAATTGCATGCTTTGTCCTTGCACCTTTTATTATTCTTAAATACAAATGTTGTATGTCCCGACAACACGTGAATGCACTGGCAAACTCAGTAAATAAAAGTCATAAATAAACTCCGCCTACTCAATTAAACTCACGATTTGCGAAACATATCCTGTAAAGTAAAATTGTTACATGGCGTCATACTTTTTTGTTTGTTTTTCAGTTACGGCAATACCCCGCTTTACGTCGGGGATGCGTTCGTGAAAGTTGCGACGACGGATATCGAAACAACGTACAATCGAAGCGATGTACGGGGTAAGTAGTAGTAGTGGTGGGTGGTGGTGGTGGAGGTGAAGGCTGTGGCAGGCGACGGAGAACGAGGAAGGGACGGACGATGATGCCGTCAGCAACGTGAGTGCGGGGCTTGTGGCGACAGCGAATCACGTGGTGGTGTTAATAATAAAGTAGCGACGTATTTGCGAAACGAGGTAAAAGTGGCGAGACGTAAACCGGAGTATTACTGTGTTGTAACCGTTGATGGAAGTTTGCATGTTAACCGACAGCAGGTGCTCTCCGTAAGCGCTCCAGATTGTTTGTAAACATTTTTTTTGTGCTAAATGACTAGAAGACATGGCGGAATGTTTGTCTGGCCTTAGGGGCAAACGTCACCTCAAGAGACTCCCAAGGTCGTCTTAAATCCCAGCAACGCACGGAAGCAGCAGCAGAAATCACGAAAACAACGAAAACATTTGGGTGACACTGCGCGATACGCTTCAGCAGACAGCCGTTGGGGAACTGATATCGCGATAATCATAGCATCGTGACATTCGATATCGTGGACAACTTTTTGATTGGTTTTGCTATCGCGCTGAGCCCGTCACGATGGACGGGCTGTGGTTGGCGAAGGGGCGGGCGACTCACGGACTCTCGAATGGTAGCGACTGCAGTGGGGGGTGGGCGAGGTGGTGGTGTGGGTGGTGGTGGTTTGGGTGGTGGTGGTGGTGGTAGTGGTGGTGGGGGTGAGGGTGGCATAGATCGAGACGTCGTCACATTGCGTGCAGAGGCACCACCACCACCACGACCGCCACCGTCACCGCCACCACCACCACCGTCACCACCACCACCACGACCGCCACCACCACCACCGCTACCACCGCCACCGTCACCACCACCACCCACACGCGTGCCACCCGCGGCCCGTTCCCGCAGTTTCGAGGCGGCGACCGTCCGGCCCTTTCACACTTCCTCTTCCCCTTTGAGTCGCCCCAAGAAAATAAAAATAAATCCGGGGCTAAGCAGAAGGAGCGCGGCGTGATTCGGAGTTAACGGCGTGAGTTGGTGCGGGTTTGGAGGGGGATGATTCAGGAAGTGGCTTTGTTTTAAGTCCGACGTTCCGGGCACGCCCGCAACGCCACGTCGCTTTTTGGGGAACACGACGGACGCGGGTCCGGTTTTCTGCTCCTTGCTTCGCGCATTTTTTGGTCTCTCTCTGAGCTCCGTTCGACCTTGCTGAGAACGTCCATCCAGGAGGGGGGGGTGTGTAGAGGAGGAGGGGGGGGTGGGAGGAGGTGGAGGAGGAGGGGGTAGGAGAAGGGGGTGGGGAGGAGGAGGGGGGAGGAGGAGGGGGGAGGAGGAGGGGGGATGAGGAGGGGGGGGCTGGGGAGGAGGGATGAGGAGAGGTGGGGAGGAGGAGGGGGGGGTATGGCGGAGGGGGGTGGGAGGAGGTGTGGAGGAGGAGGGTGAGGGGTGGGTGGTGAGGAGGTAAAGCGCTGTCGCCTGACAACCCGAACGCGCTCGTCGCGCTATCCACCTCCTCCTCCACCTCCTCCTCCTCCTCTTCTTGCTGGGCCGCACCGCGCGCCCAAGCAGCGCATTCGCCTCGGCGGCGGCGGCGGCGGCAGCGGCCTCGCTCTCGATTCGACTGGCGGTGGAGCGGCCGCGTCGCTCCCACGGTGCCCAGGCTGGCTCAGTCTCCTCTCTCTCTTACCTTTCTGCCCGGAGGAGATTTTCTCGCCGTTGCGTGCCCACCCACCCAGCCCCCCTCCTCCTCCCACCCCCGTGCACCCTCCCCCTCATTGCGCCCACCTCGAGCGAGATGGCTTCACTCGGATCCGTGGATGATCGCCAACAGCTCGGCTAGCCAACGCGACATCCGGACGGCGGCGGACGCAGACGACGTTTTGGAGTTGTTTGTGAATGCCCAGAAGGGACGGGGAGACGAGGAGGTGGGGGCTGAGGGGGGGATGGGGGGTGGGGGTGGAGGGGGGTGTAACACCGGCAAATCCTCGATACAGAGTCGCCTCGCGTACAAAACCCTGTGTGAGTGCCGGTGAAGTACGCACGCGCGTCACGTGCGCGTTCGCCGCACGTGACGCGCGCGTGCGCGTTCGCGGCACGTGACCGGACGCGACGCTTTGTGTTCGCGCTCCGACTGGATGCGCTCCAAACTCCTTGAATGTGAGCAACAGGTGGACTGAGCGCGCTAAGATGCATCTAAATATAAAATCGTCTTGGCAGGTCGGCAATAGTTCTCCTCTGGTACGGATAAGATGCTTGCATCATTATCACCACCACCACCGAAGGCCGTGATCCACTGCTGGATGGACGCCTTCCAAAGTCGCCCCTGACAATTTCTGGACGCTACGATCCAACCAGCAGGTAGCTGCCACGATCTCGCCTCGCCGCTCCATCTTCCGACGACGTTTCGCAGTGGGGGGGCCTTCGTGCCCACCTGAGGTCATTGTAACCAGAGTCGCGGTGGCCGCGTTGGCAAATGAGGCACACAGCCTCACGTCTCTCCCTCGTGGCTCACTCCGTCTCTCCCTCGTGGCTCACTCCGCTCGTCTCTACCTCGTGGCTCACTCCACTCGTCTCTCCCCTGTGGCTCACTCCGTCTCTCCCCTGTGGCTCACTCGTGGCTCACTCCGCTCGTCTCTCCCCTGTGGCTCACAGCCTCACGTCTCTCCCCTGTGGCTCACTCCGCTCGTCTCTCCCTCGTGGCTCACTCCGTCTCTCCCCTGTGGCTCACTCCGCTCGTCTCTACCTCGTGGCTCACTCCGCTCGTATTCCCCCCCCACCACCCACGGGGGTCTCGTCGTGTCCATCGAGCATCCATCACACCTCGGACATGTGGCTCAGCGCGCACTTGAGCGGACTCAAATCCCTGCGCTCCCTCAAACTCCGCACGCCGCCGATTGGCCGGAGCGGCGACTCACCGCCACCACCGCCGCCACCGCCACACCGCACCTTGACTCCGTTCGTGAGTGACAGGTGGGAGCAGCCCAGCAGCTGATTCGCCGGGAACCTGTGGCTGCTGCCGCCGCCGCCGCCGCCTCCGCTGCTGCGTCCGCTGCTTGCGTTGGCGCCGCCGCTTCCGCCCTCGCAGCAGTGCAGCAGCAGCACGCCCCGCGCCGAGCACTCGGCACGCGGGCGCCGGTAGTCGCAGGCGATGTAGCGGCGGAACGCCTGCCGGAAGGCGCGGTTGAAGAGCGTGTAGACGAGGGGGTTGACGCCCGACGAGACGTAGCCCACCCACACGAAGACGCCGAGCAGCGTCTCGGTGAGCTGCGCGCTGCACCCGCGCCGGCACAGCACCGAGAGCACGTTGGTGATGAAGAACGGGCACCACATGACCACGAACAGCACGAAGACGATGCCCAGCACCTTGGTGGCGCGCTGCTCGTTCGTGATGCTCGCCATCGACTGCTTGCCCACGGCGTTGCGCCGCATGCGTGCCCGCTGCCGCGACAGCGCCGGCGCCCCGCGGTGCTGCGCCGCCGCCGACGATGCCCGGCCCGCCGCGGACGCGACCCTCGTCTGCGCGGAGGCCGAGCGCCGCTCCATGCCGCGCCACGGGCTGCCGCCGATTCCGCCGCCGATTCCGCCGGGCTTGTCGCAGGGACGCGCGCGCGTCGTGTGCCACCGACGGAACCGCGCGGAGCCGCCGCCGCCGCCGCCGCGGCAGCCCCAGGGCAGGCTGCGGCCTCCTCCTCCTCCTCCTCCGCCGCCGCCGCCGCAGCCGCCGGCGCCCGAGATGGAGGCGCGCGAGACGCCCGCGTCGCAGAGCATCGCCTTGTGACGCAGCACGCGCGTCGTGAGCAAGAAGGTGACCATCATGATGACGAGCGGCACGAAGAAGGCGCACAGGGAGCCGTAGATGATGAAGCTGCGGAAGGCGTCGATGCCCAGGGAGCACGCGCTGGCCACGAGCACGGTGCTCGAGTCGCGCAGGCCGATCACGGGGATCGGCATCGAGATGCCTGCGGTGGTGCGGGGGCGGAGAGGGGGGGAGGCAGGGGGAGAACGAGTTAGACGTTTCAAATCCGTGTCGATCGCCTCTTGCGAGGGCAGGCATCGATCCCGTGCGAGTTGGCTCACCGGGCGCATGTTGGACTGCGAGGGGTGCCCCGGGTCCACCGTCCGAGTGATCGGAAGCGGAACTCCCTCGCGTGCAACTGAGCCGCGCCTGACACGCGTCCTCTTGCAAACGGGTCGCGAGCAGTTGCGAGCCACCGGTTGCCCGCGGGAGAGACGGGGCTGCACTTTGAAAGCTTCGTCGTCAACAACGGTGGTAGCGGGTGGTGGTGGTGGTGGGCGGGGTGGAGCTAACAAGGAGAAGAGGCGGGGCCTGTGCTTGCTGTGAAGGGCGTGGCCAGATTGCGCAACCGCCCGCTCAGACGCCGGACAAAGAATTCAAAGTCGAGCTGCGCGCTAATTTCGAGGTCAGCGATTTGCTCTCCTCGGTCGTGGACCCAGGGACCCGAGCCTTAAAGAGCCCCGTGGCTTTGTTGTTTTTGTTGTTGTTGTCGTTGTTGCGCTGAATGGGCTGCGATGACTCATAACGAATTTGCTTTTCATCAATCTGCAGGGCTGTAATAACACCCTTGCCTCTGCCGGCGGTTCTGTAATAGAAACGTCCTGCCTGCGACTCCCATCGCGGTTAAAAAAAAAATATGTAAACAGACGCATGGCTAAATAAATCATTTCCCCGCGGAGATTTCTTATCCGCGCCCTCAAACGCCTATTGACTTTCACACTCCCACGCCTGACAGCTCAATGTGTCACCTCTGGCAGCTCTCCAGCCACAGCAGCAGCAACAACAACAACAATAAAACAAATCTAGGTTCATGTTGGGGGAAAACAAAAACCGAAACACATTCGAATAGAAAACAAATATAAAGTAACTGTTCAGTTTTAGTTGTTTTTTGTTAGTCGTGCCGCCAAACAACAACAACAACAAATTTAAAGAATCTCGTTTTGCGTTTCTGACAAAGAAAAATCACGAACCGAAATCGATGTTTAAACAATGGCCCCGGTGTTGTCATCACAAAGGCAAGGAAAATGTGCGCCCGGTGGAGCCTCCACGCACTCTTGGGGCGGCTGCTGTTAGGGAGCACCTATGAAGGGGGGGGGGGCGGGACCAACAATTCCCGGGTGCCTTCGCCTCCCCAATGGCGATGTTTACGCACGGGGCCAGGTTCGTATTTTACGGCCGAGTAGACGCACCGGTTCGGATATTCATCACCGATGTTGACCAAGCGAGGCAGGACTCGAACCCGGGGGGGGGGGGGGTGGGGGGTGGGGGGTTCCTGGGGTTTCGTGGCGGCAGTGCGCTAACCGCTGCGCCACCGCATCCTCTCCGTTGTCAACGAACACAAACACACACACAAAAGACACAGAGGCAGACATTGGCAATCCATCGCTGCGGCGTCCCAGGGGCACGCTTCTCAGTCGCTCATCGGATCCTCGGGCACCAAGCAGAGGGTTCGTTTGGTGCCGATGGCATTTCAAATTCCAGGCCGGTCTCGCGGATCGCGGGACGAACGTTTTTGTGGAGGGGGGCGGAGCATGTGACATCATCATCATCAACGACGTCACAATGGCATCCAGATGGCGGGGCCAATAGCAAGAGGATGGCGATGCAGATTGGTGAGCAGCATCTGCGGAGCAATTCGACGGAGATATGAAGCGAAATTGTTTTTCGCAGGTGTCCAGTAGGGGCGGGTGAGCAAGTGACAACAAACGGAACAAAAAAATTAAACGATGGGCGTGAAAGATAGATAAAAGTCACGCGTGTATGTACGTCTGACTTCTTTTTGCACCGTACGCAGCCAACCGTGCTAATCGGATGTTCGGGGGAAGGACGACAAACTAAACAAACACAAGAAGCAGTTCTAAAGAAATCAGCTTGTCAATCAAGGTGATTTGAAAGTGCACAGCTCCAGTGGCTTCCCAATATGGGAAGGAAGAGCGTTCCAGACGGCCGCAGAAGCAGCGCACCTGAAAGCGCCGCGAGACGTGGCGACCGCCGCCTTCGCTCGACGGTTACCCAGAAGCCACTGCCGCGAGGATGACCAGAGTTCGAGTGGTGCCGGTTTACGCTCCTTGACAAGATCAGCAAGGGTATTGTGGTTCCACTTGCGGTGAACGCTTCGGGGGCCGTCCATAAATGATGATTATTGACCCCCCCCCCTCCACCCCTCGTCACACGGTCTCACAAAAAAAGTCAGACCCCCCCCCCTCAAATATGACGTCAAAAATCTCTGCCCCCCCCCCCAAAACCATATTTCCATTTTGAAAATAAAACATGCTTCAAGTGGCTTTAAACTATTGTAATTGTAGTGCGTATTTAATTTGGCGCTGCACTCTGATGTTGTAGGAGAAGCACATTTATTAGAACGTGTTGTCTATATTTATTTAAAGTTGCGCGTTTTGATGTGACGTCACATTTCTTAACCCCCCCCCCCCCACCCTCGTCACACATCGTCACAAATGTCTGACCCCCCCCCCCCCCCAGGTGCGTGACGTCATTTATGGACGGCCCCTTCGTGCAACCTTGTGGCAATGATTTTCGTCCGTCAAACCGGGAGCCAATGCCGCTTGGCAAGCGCCGGACTGCAGTGCCCGTCACGACACGTGACAGAGAATTCAAACTCGATTTGAAGCTTTCGCGACTGCAGGAATCCACACTCTTTGGTTCTTTCGGAAAAGTCACGTGGGTAGAAAATAAAATAAATCACGACGTTTCGATCGCAACACAAGCGGTCGTACTCAGGCGGAAATAAAAATATATAATCCAGCAGTGGAACTGCTCTATACTGGAGTATAGAGAATTCAAAGTCGCAAAAACATGAACGAATTATAAAACACTAAAAGCGTATGAGTACATATCGTATACACGCATTGCGTACATAGACTCGTGACGATGCGAGTGACGAGATTGGGGTGTGCGAGGTGTTGGGGTGGGGGTGGTGGTGAGTTTGTCGAGACTCACCGATGGACACGGCCCAGACGGCCAGGATCTTGATGAGCATCTTGGACTTCGAGTTGAAGCGACTGTGCTGGATGGGCCGCTTGATGGCGATGTAGCGATCAATGGAGATGGCGCACAGGTGCAAGATCGAGGCGGTGGACAGGAGGACGTCCAGGTAGAGCCAGATGGGGCACAGCTGCTCAGGCAGACACCAGCGGGAATCTGGCACGGGCACGCCAACAACGACAACGACAACAACAACAAATCCCCAAACCCACCAGCCTCGTGTTGCCTTTAACGCAACCGCTTGGAGGTGTGCCGGGTAGGGGGTAGGTCAAGAGCTGTTAGCGAGCGCCTATTAACAAATATAATTACACGGTATTTTTCCTCCTATAGAGCGGTGGTAGTTGCTGTGTTCCTGAAGAAAACCACGTTGTGGAAAAACCGCGTTAAAATAAATAATATGGGGGGAGGGGGGGGGGGGTAAAGCACAGTCCTCGTGAACGCGTGAGATGCCTAACGCAGGACGAACGCAGACTGGGGCGTGTGGGTAGCATCGAGAAGGATCCAGCAGCATCCCGGCGCGTTCAATGGCTACGCCGAGGCAGCCGCTGTACGACCGCTCACTCCGACCGCGCGCCACGTGGTTCCCCTCGCTCGGTAGCGTCACTATATCAAAATTCGCAAAAATGCGTTCCCCAATGCATTGATCGCGCAATAGCCAATTCGCGTCGTGAAAACCACACGCGGCTTTATAGCAGAAGTGACTTATATAATGTTACATTGCTAAAGCACCCTTTCTGCTAAGCACTCAAAGCGCTGTACCTCGTAAAATAATATCGCAAGCCAAGGGGAGGTATAACTAAGGCGACACAGAAGCGACGTCGGAGAACCGGGAGGAGGAGAGGATGGTGTGGTCAGAACTACGCCCGGCCGCCTTTGCCCCTCCGATGTCGTTGTTTAACTACACACCGCGCCTGTCACACATTTTATGGCTGAGTCGACCTAAGGGGAGGCCCGGGACCGGTTTCCATAACCGTCACTGGTGTCGGTGGTGGCCGTGAGCGCGGAATCGAACTCGCGTGGGCCAGGTTCCGAACACGGCTAACAACAACAACAACCGCCATTCGCCACTAAGTGGCGGTGACGTCACCACGGGGATCGTGCCAAGCTACGTGCATGTTGAGGCCACGTGGAGTGTCGAACGCCCGCTGGCAGGTCACGGGGCTGACCCAGCAGGTGCCACGGGTCGACTGACCGAGACGACTGCTGGCCGATGCACCGCCTGTGCCCCCCTACTCTGCCAGCACAGCTAACGCACACACACACACCGATAGTCCGTGTGCAAGGGGTTCACTTCTCAGTGAATATTCTCCGGATCGCCGGTAGAGTAGGGTTGGCACGTGACTTGTAGTAACCGGAGCGCGCAGCAAAGAGGCACACTGGACGTGGTGTACCGGGTGCGGAGACTATCCCGTCCAGTATATACCCATTCGCTCTGGGCCGCGGCTACCGCTCATCACGTGCCACCTAATCCAGTCGCCCGGTATCCATCGCCTCTCAGACTTAGCCTCAACCACCACCACTACCCACTACCGCAGTCTTCTGATTATTTACCAAAGAAACGTTTTCAAACAATCTGGAGCGCTTACAGAGAGCACCTGCTGTCGGTTAACATGCATACTTCATCAACGGTTACAACACAGCCATATGTCTCCCCCCCCCCCCTGCTTTACGTCGTTTTGCAAATACGTCGCTACTTTATTATTGACACCACCATGCGGATTCGCTGTCGCCTCAACCCCCACACTCACGTCGCTGTCGGCATCATCGTCCGTCCCTTTCTCCTTCTCCGTCGCCTGCCACAGCCTTCGCCTCCACCACCACCCACCACTACTACTACTTACCCCGTACATTGCTTCGATTGTACGTCGTTTCCGATATGCGTCGTCGCACGCTTCACGAACGCATCACCGACGCAAACCGGGGTATTGCCGTAGCGGCGTTCGTTCGTTGTACGGTCGGCAGGGGTGACGGCGGGGGGGGATGGGGGAGGGTGGGGGGTAGGGCGGGCCCCCCGTGATTTATAAAAGATGATGATGATGATGATGACAGGCGGGAGATCGATGGTTGTCAGAGGCGTGTGACCGCTGTCTCCAGCGAGGGTTATCGACAAGGCTTTGGGCGGCCAGGATTACAAACGCCCCGAGCGTAACGCCGCTCATCTCTCTCTCCTGCAGCGCGAGGAAATCTCAATTGGTGGGAGGGGGGTGGGAGATCACAACAACAACAACAACAGCCGTCTCCCATTGAAAGTGGTGGTGACGTCACCGCGGCGCTTGTGCCATGCTAGGTGCACTTTGAGGCCACGTGAAGTGTCGAAGGCAGCCGCTGGCAGGAGGTCACGGAACAGACCCAGGTGTCGTTGGGTTGACTGACATGACCGGCAGATGCACTAATCAATCTATAGATCTATGTATGAGTATATGGGTCTATATGTGAGGCTATGGGTCTCAGTGTGAATCTATATATATATATTTATGATTATATGGGTCTCTATGTGAGTATGAGTCTCAGTCTGAATCTATAGATCTCTGTGCGAGTCTATGGGTCTCTACGTGAGTCTGTGAGTCTCAGTGTGAATCTATAGATCTCTGTGCGAGTCTATGGGTCTCTACGTGAGTCTATAAGTCTCAGTGTGAATCTATAGATCTCTGTGCGAGTCTATGGGTCTCTACATGAGTCTATGAGTCTCAGTGTGAATCTATAGATCTCTGTGCGAGTTTATGGGTCTCTACTTGAGTCTGTGAGTCTCAGTGTGAATCTATGGATCTCTGTGCGAGTCTATGGGTCTCTACGCGAGTCTGTGAGTCTCAGTGTGAATCTGTAGATCTCTGTGCGAGTCTATGGATCACTACATGAGTCTGTGAGTCTCAGTGTGAATCTATAGATCTCTGTGCGAGTCTATGGGTCTCTACATGAGTCTATGAGTCTCAGTGTGAATCTATAGATCTCTGTGCGAGTCTATGGGTCTCTACGCGAGTCTGTGAGTCTCAGTGTGAATCTATAGATCTCTGTGCGAGTCTATGGATCACTACATGAGTCTATGAGTCTCAGTGTGAATCTATAGATCTTTGTGCGAATCTATGGGTCACTACATGAGTCTATGAGTCTCAGTGTGAATCTATAGATCGCTGTGCGAGTCTATGGGTTTCTATGCGAGGCGCTAAACCTTTTGTTTTTGTCGCGTGGCTGACAGAGAGCAACAGCTGCGATTTCACGTGGCGGTGGTCAATGAGCCAGATGATTGCCAGTCAGGGGCAGCGGAGTTGGTGAATTGTCGCCGTGGTGATGCCTCCTCCTCTCCCTCCTCATCATCTCTCTCCTCTTCCTTCTCTCCCTCCTCCTCATCCTACCCCTCCTCCTCTCTCTCCTCTCCTCCCTCCTCCTCCCTCCTACTCCTCTCTCTCTCATCTCCTCCCTCCTCCTCCTCTCCCTCCTCCACCTCCTCATCCCACCCCTCCTCGTCCTCGTCTCTTTCCTCGCCCTCCTCATCCTATCGTAAAAAAGTACAATGTTAATAAATACATAGAGTTTTATTAATCAAAGTAGTTGTACTTAATTTGTGTTTATGATGTTTTACCGCCTGAGAAATATCTGGCCATGCCTCGCACCCCCAGAAACGACATCTGGCACCCCCAGGGGGTGCAGCGTGCACACCCTGGGGGATGCAGCGTGCACCCCCAGGTTAAGAAGAAGAAGAAGATGATCTACTGCCGCAAAACCGATCGGAGAGTTTGTTGTTGTTGTCATTTTCCACATTAAACCGCCGCCCAACTCCCTGCGCGTCTTCCTTAAAGGTGCTCGCGAACTGCACTTTCTCTAAAAACCTGTTAGATAACACCGGTTGCCGTTGTTTCTGTGTGTGTTAAATAGTCTGTGTGGGGAGCTCGCTGCGATACGAACCCAGCGACTCCAGTTCGATCCCCGCTCACGACCTGACCACCAACACCAGTGACGATTATCTGAACCGGTCCTGGGCCTCCCCTAGGTCGACTCAACCTCAAACGGGCACCTAGTGCGATGGGTAAACATTGCCACGTGTTGGCCACCCACCCCCTCGTGTGCTGTTCGGGCCTTCATAGGTGCTCGCTTAGAGCACTTGACCCAACAGTGTGTTACAGGCTATACGGGGGGATCTTTGTAGAATAGTCTGTCTGTAGTTGGTGTGGTGTCAATAGAGGTGTGTTTACGCATGGAATGTTTGCGCACGTGTGTGTGTGTGTGTGCCGGTGTGTTTCCTGGCCACCCACCCCCTCGTGTGCCTTGTCGGCCTTCGCAGGTGCTGCTCGCTAACAGCGTTGGCTTCCACCTGTTTGTTGGGGGGGGGGGGAGGGTCTTTGTGTGTGTATGCGTGATGGTGGTGATGGTGGTGTTGATGATGGTAATGATGGTGGTAATGATGATGGTGGTGATGATGATGGTGGTGGTGATGATGATGATGGTGATGATGATGGTGGTGGTGATGATGGTGGTGATGATGATGATGATGGTGGTGGTGGTGGTGATGATGATGATGGTGATGATGATGGTGGTGGTGGTGGTGGTGATGATGATGATGATGGTGATGATGGTGGTGGTGATGATGGTGATGATGATGATGGTGGTGATTATGATGATGGTGGTGATTATGATGGTGGTGATTATGATGATGGTGGTGGTGATGATGATGCGCGTGCACGCGCGTGCCGCCGCCGCCGCCGCGACTCACTGAAGAGGATCGTGAGCAGCGCGATGGGCATCACGAGGACGCCGACGAGAAGATCGGCGATCGCCAGCGACATGAGGAAGTAGTTGGTGACGTTTTGAAGTTTCCTCTCGAGCCCCACCGCCAGGATGACGAGAATGTTCCCTCCGATGGTCCACGCGATCACGGCGAGCATGGGCAGCGCGTGCCACAGGAACGCGTCCGCGCCGACGACTCCTCCACCCGCGACGCTCCCTCTCACCACCACGCCGCCGCTGTTGTTGTCCGCTGCCAAGAGGCCAAGGTGGTGCTGGTGCTGCTGCCCGCTCAAGTTGTGGAGGCCCGCGCTGTGGTTGACACCAACCTCCACCGCACTGCCCCACAGGCCCGCGCGCTCGCTGGTGGTGGTGGTGGTGGCGGTGGCGAAGAGGAGGTCGAACGTCGCCAGGCCGCTGCCCATCGTGGCCAGGCCATCGCCTTGGGAGCCGGTGGCCACCGCGGATGACATCGATGATGGCGATGATGGTGCGGAGATGATCCAGTCGGCGTCTCGCCTCGCCGCAGTAATTGGCGTTCCGGGAAAAGCCATACTGAGCGGTGTTTTGTTTTAATAATTATTATTGCTATTGTGTGGGTAATCGTTCATCCTTCTGGCGGAGTTCCAAGGAGGCATGGGCGGGGAGTGTCTCGCGTCCGCGTCTTTTTGCGGCTTTCAGAGATGCCCGAAGCTGCGTGTTTGTTTTACACATTCGAGATTCCCGTGTGATGGAGACGCGAGCAGAGGAACCACTGACTGTCAGCCCGGGTGCCTCCACGTCAATGACACATCACCTACCTCCCCCATCCACCCACCCACCCAACCCCCCCCCCCCCCCCCCCCCGCCCAAGGCAAATATTTCCACGCCCGGCACACCACTTCCAGTATGCCTCTCGTCGCTGCCGGCGGCTGTGGCTGCGACTCGTCGAATATGCGACCGACCGTCCGTCTCCGCTGAGATACCCGCGGAGAATATGTGGCGGAGTCGGGGAGGGGTGGCTGGGTGGTGGTGGTAGGGGGAGAGTTGAAATGAAACGTCGACAAAAATCGCGCCAACTTGGAACGCCGCCGCGCTCAGCCCTCGACGGGTGGACAGCGGTAGGGCAGCCGCCAGAAGCCGACGTCACCAACGAATTGCCCAAGCTCTGAGGACCTACACATATATCACGAAATACGCGAGCAACTGCGTGAGTTGTTCGCAACTTGTCTCCGCAAACCCAGCGTGGAATTTGATGTAAATCTGCATGTTACATTATTTTTTATTTAATAAAGAAAACAGATAAGATTCATATTGCCATTGTGATTTGCAAGCTTTTTTTTCATTTCTCTAATCTGTTATTGTTTATTAATTTGATTTACTTTGCTGCCACTTGTCGCGTTGTTCGTGAAACCCGATTGCAAGAGCAACTCGGCTCACGGGGGACTTGAACGGAACCCAGTCGCCACCGTGTCGAGGACAACAACAATAATAACAAACAAACAAACCAACAAACGAAGCAAAATAGCAAAACATAAACCACCGCGCGCACGAACCGCGCGACTGCTGCTACTGCTGCCGCGGGCGATGTTTTACCGATCAGAATCCCCGCCACAACTCGGCTCCCTCCAACGTCCGAATAACGTCGACGGCGGGTCGAGGATGCCAGGCGGCCTCTCAACGTCGACTGCGTCTCGAGTCGCTCGCGATCGCTCCCGTCGGGGTCCACCCGGACGAGCGCCACGGAGGAGCGCTCGGGCTCAGCGATTCGCCGTTCGCGTGTGGCGAGAGGAGACGCACCGCCGCCACGGTTTGCGGGCGGTGCATCGCTGGTATGGTGGTGATGGTGGTGATGGTGGCGATGGTGGCGGTGGTGGTGATGGTGATGGTGGTGGCGGTGGTGGTGGTGGTGATGGTGGCGGTGGTGGTGATGGTGGTGGTGGTGGCGATGGTGGCGGTGGTGATGGTGATGATGGTGGTGATGCTGGTGGTGATGGTGGCGGTGGTGGTGGTGATGATGGTGGTGATGGAGCGTGCTCGCTCACGGCACTTGTCCCCTACAGTGTGTTAGAGGCTACACGGGGGGGGGGGGGGTCTTTGGCTTCTGGTGTGGTGGAGGGTTACGAACCCGGCTACACGAGTTCGATTCCCGCTCACGGTCACCAACACCGGTGGAGATTGTCTGAACCGGTGTAGGGCCTCCCCTAGGTCGACTCAGTCTCAAATAAGTAACCTGGTGTGGGGTGTAAACATCGCCCTATTGGGGAGGCAGTGGCAGTCGGGCGTGGTGCTGGCCACCCACCCCCTCGTGCACTGCCCCGGCCTTTATAGGTGCTCACAAACACCACTTGCCCCTACAGTCTGGTGAAGGCTGTGCGGGGGGATCTTTGTCTTGAAGGCGAAGGTGGTGGTGGGTTTTACAATTTCAAATCCATCCTATTTGAAGTCGGCGCGGGTCGCCAGCGTGGGATCGAGAGGTGAGAGATTATGGAAAATATTCACCAAGCCCGTGACCCATCTTCCTCGCGCCGTGCTGCCCGAAGGTCGCCTCGAGTTCCGCCAATGGAGACGTCTCGACGTTGACAGCGCAACGCCAACGATCAGAGCCACCCCCCGTGTGGTTCGCGTAGGGGGGGGGGGGGTTAAAGGCGCAGCCCTGCAGTTGACAGCCGCTAAGCTGAAGAGCTTTAACCACCACAAGGAGCTCGAGCGAGTCCTTCTAGAGCAGTGGGTTCTTAATCTTTACTGCAGCCTTCGACCCCTTTGGTTCTCAATCATGTTACAAAAACACTGACAGCGTCAATAAATACATAGGGGGTTTCGTGAAAGAAAGCACGTTGTTACTTAACGTGCCCGTGGCTGAATTTGTGTTGCGATGATTCAACTTCTAAACAAATCCGGCCGTGTCTCGCACCCCCAGAAAGGGGATCTCGCACCCCCAGGGGTTGCAGCGTGCACCCCGGGTTAAGAAGAAGAAGAACTGCTCTAGACGGCGATCTGGTCGACTCTTGCGCCTTAGAAGAGGCGCACGTGAATACATTTAAGGTTAATTGAATAAAGTAATGCTAATAGTTTTAACAAAAAGAAATCACAGTGATGTCCCAGTGAACTGATGGATCGAGGCTTCCCCACGCTGTGTTCATCACGGGGGATGATTTGGCCATACTTCACCACGCCGGTCAGTGCGGGTTCGTGATGGAAGCGTTTGGGGCTGTGGGTTTACCCGGAACTAGCCCACGTGCCTTTCGACGCCGACGTTGTGTACATGCGTGTGTTTCGTGCTTGTACTACAATCTAGCTGGAGCATTTGCACGACTTTGATTACATCGTTGAGAAATGATTAATGGGCAAATGTTGTCGGGGTTCTTTTTGTTGTTCAAAACCATACACACACACACCACACGAGATTATCAAGAGTCGCGCAGCAGGCGCGCTGAGAACGAAAACCCTCCAAACACGAATTGGCTCCGAGCAGTTGCCACCTTCTTCCCCTATTGCCGATAACAAAAACAACCCCCCCCCCCCCCCAACGTACGTCTCGAGTCGGCTCTTCTTAGCCTCTCTCTATGTTTAAATCAAAGCTCGTGCCGCGATAGCGATAAATAGACCCTCGGCACGCGAATCCGTTCTTTGCCACCAGAATTTTTTTTTTTTAAATAGTCCACTGATGATGTCGATTCCCGGACGGGCCGTTGCGTTCCGCGAAATCCGGAACGGGTTGGCAACTTCGGTGCAAGAAGGGCAACGCTTACTTTGCCCGGGGGACTACTTTTTTGGTGTTTTTTTACGCGACCGGGAAATCCGCAATCCTTGCGCGGGAAATACGAATGTGCTCCTCGAGACGCGGAGTGGTTAAATCCGCACGCACGAGTTTGCGTCTTCTTCCTTTTCTTGTTCGTTGTTGTTGTTGTGGTTGTGATTAATATTATTATGGATCTGAGTAATTATTGTATCCCGCCGCTCTGCGCCCTTCTCGTTTCCATGGAGACCGTTAAATCCTCGCGCCACGGGGGATGCGGGTCCCTGGCGACGGACAGCGGCGCGTGCGGTCCTCGGGATTCTGATAACAATAAAAAAAAACGTCAATAAATAAAAGATTTAAAAAACACGGAGAGAAAAGGGAAAGAGATACGTTAATATAATCCCGTTTTGACGGTGAGCTGTCAAGGCCATAACGGGTTTGCTTGTGTTCAAAGGAGTTGTATCGGCTCCGGTTTGTGTTTCATGGTTATAGCAGAGCTTTGATTTCCCCAGTTGTGTCATCTTCGATCAGGTTAACAACATCCCCCCCCAATACACATAGACTCACACAGAGACACATAGACTCACACATAGAGACCCATAGACTCACACAGAGACACATAGACTCACACATAGACACATAGATTCACACAGAGACACATAGACTCACATCGAGACCCTCAGACTCACACAGAGACCAATAGGCTTAGACAGAGACCACAGACTCACACAGAGACCCTCAGACCCACACAGAGACCAACAGACTCATACAGAGATTCATATATTCACACAGAGACCAACAGTCACACACAGACCCACAGTAGCTACCGACTAACCGCAGTAGACACTGACTAACCACGATAGTCACTGACTAACCACGGTAGACACTGACTAATCACGGTAGTCACTGACTAACCACAGTAGCCACTGACTAACCACGGTAGATACTGAATAACCACGGTAGTCACTGACTAACCACGGTAGACACTGACTAACCACGGTAGCCACTGACTAACCACGGTAGTCACTGACTAACCACGGTAGACACTGACTAACCACGGTAGCCACTGACTAACCACGGTAGCCACTGACTAACCACGGTAGTCACTGACTAACCACAGTAGACACTGACTAACCACGGTAGCCACTGACTAACCACGGTAGAGACTGACTAACCACAGTAGACACTGACTAACCACGGTAGACACTGACTAACCACAGTAGACACTGACTAACCACGGTAGCCACTGACTAACCACGGTAGACACTGACTAACCACAGTAGACACTGACTAACCACGGTAAACACTGACTAACCACGGTAGACACTGACTAACCACGGTAAACACTGACTAACCACGGTAGACACTGACTAACCACAGTAGACACTGAATAACCACGGTAGTCACTGACTAACCACGGTAGCCACCGACTAACCACGGTAGTCACTGACTAACCACGGTAGTCACTGACTAACCACGGTAGTCACTGACTAACCACGGTAGTCACTGACTAACCACGGTAGCCACTGACTAACCACGGTAGACACTGAATAACCACAGTAGACACTGACTAACCACGGTAGACACTGACTAACCACAGTAGACACTGACTAACCACAGTAGACACTGACTAACCACGATAGCCACTGACTAACCACAGTAGCCACTGACTAACCACGGTAGACACTGACTAACCACGGTAGACACTGACTAACCACGGTAACCACTGACTAACCACGGTAGCCACTGACTAACCACGGTAGACACTGACTAACCACGGTAGTCACTGACTAACCACGGTAGACACTGACTAACCACGGTAGTCACTGACTAACCACGGTAGACACTGACTAACCACGGTAGACACTGACTAACCACGGTAACCTCTGACTAACCACGGTAGCCACTGACTAACCACGGTAGACACTGACTAACCACGGTAGTCACTGACTAACCACGGTAGACACTGACTAACCACGGTAGTCACTGACTAACCACGGTAGACACTAACTAACCACAGTAGACACTGACTAACCACGGTAGCCACTGACTAACCACGGTAGCCACTGACTAACCACGGTA